TACGAAGTTTGCTGCGTAACACCCATGAACACAATAACAGTAACAGTGCTCAAATAGGACCATGTTGTAATAATTGTATCAAGCATAGCTCATCAACAAAAAGTTCCTTTATTTCAGTATTTTAGTTGTATGAAAAAATGTCTCTGACAACAGTAATAAAGGAACTTTTCATTGATGAGCTATAATTGGTACGAATATTGCAACATGTTTCTATTTCAGCATTGTTATTATTATTGTTTATCTATTTGTTTAATTATAGAAAATAGGAAAAGTAATTAAGAAATCAAATACTCCTTAAACTACCAAAATATAAGCCAATCCAACAAAGTAAAATACAATGGAACTAAATTGAGAAAATAATGTAACATATCACGATAAAATATCGAGAATTAAGGAACATAATTTCAAAATACACTAATAGGAAATGACGTCAAGCAATGAATCCAACCACCTTCAACTTGGATTTCTTTTCACCAATGTCCAATTTATTCATTCTGTTCCAAAATTTGGGGGGAAAAATCGGTTCGGGTCGTCGTTTAGCGGCAACATAGGATCTGTGAAAAAAAAATGATTCCGGCAATATACATTTATTTCAATATAATAAACCAATATTCATTTGTTTCAATAATAACATAAAATCAATAGATTTAGGCAAATATTGTACCGTACATTTTTTCGTATGCACTAAATCTATATATGTGTATGAGGGGTGGGTGCGTGTGTGTGATTTTTTTTGGTGGGGTGGACTTGGTTGCGGGTGGTGGGTTTGTGTGTATTTCCAACATCATATCTCGATAATATTGATGCAATAGTTAGTTTACAGTAATTCACCATATACTGACCTGGCAAGTTACACGTCAGGCCCCTAAAGTATGTAGTACATATACAATTATTATTATTATTATTATTATTATTATTATTATTATTATTATTATTATTATTATTATTATTATTATTATTTTATTTAGCCATTATTTGAAAATGATACCTGGCCATCTCATAGGTGCAATGTCTATTCAATGTTGTGTCTTCTCACCCTATTTACATACCATACTTTACCTATTTAAGTTAAGATTTAAGTTAAGACTATCTCCTTCTAGACCATATTTAAATGTGTGCATCCAATAGTTGTCCCGCCGCAATTGTATTCATACAAACAAACGGTTGCTAGTTACACCAAATTTTTTATTTTTTTAAATTTTTTTCCCAAACTTTTGATTCCTTCTTGGTAACAGATTTCCATTAATTTTGTTTTAATACCCTGTCTTTCTTCTAGCTTTTCGTTTTCTTTACGTTTCTTTTAATTTCTTTCAACATCAGGTCTCGATAATATTGATGCAATAGTTAGTTTACAGTAATTTACCATATACTGACCTAGCAAGTTACATGTCGGGCCCTTAAAGTATGAAATCAGATCACAAAATGTTACAGTAGACATAGGCCTTCATGAGTTAACGAATCTCTCAAACCTCTAAATTGGCCTCATCCAATTTAGGACATATTCCACTCCTTAACCTTTACAATGTATACTAATACACAAATTTTAAATCCTCACTTCGCAAACTTTTATTCTCTAGTACACAAGTTTTGATTTCACACACTAGCCGCGACCCATCTATATTGATAGTAAATACCAATTTTTTAAGATCCCTGAAATTTGACTGAAGAATGAATACGGTACTCGACATGGATATAACGTCGATCTTTGCTTAGTGACGGATCCAGGAATTCGTATCACTATTTGGAGGACTGAGCTCTGAAAGTTGAAGAAGCATAAAGGGAGGCTTTTCCCCACCACTTTGAATTCGCCACTGGTTATCGTTCTTTTTCTTCGAAGTGGGAAAATGAGACTTATTTTAATATTTGAGACTTATGATGTAATACAAGAGCCTTACTTTGCGTGGGCCAAGACTGACTGACCCAAAATATAGGATTGGCTTTTTTTTGCAGAATATTTCCGATCTTTGTATATTATATTTGATAACGTAAGCCTTAGTTTTAGACCTGTGGCTACCATTAAATCAACCAATCAAAACACACGCTTGTTTTAGCTGTATCATTTTTTGCATACGCTATTCTTCTATGTCACAAGGCAGCGTTTCTGTTTAATTCATGTCACACTTGTTAATGATTAGGTTTACACAATTATGTTATAGTAAGATATAAGATATTCATTTTGTACATATAAATAAAATATTTTTCTAATAAAGATTCAACTAAAATTCTATTTCAGGTAGGCAAATCTGCTAAAGTCTTTACAAACATTTTTTTTGTTTTAGCAATTCTGATCGCGACCTAACGCAAATGATAACTTTTGGGTCGCGACCTATAGTCATCAGTGTGAGAGGTACCTCAACCGGGATTGAAACACAGGACCTTCCGACATTTCCAATTTTTCACCTAGTCGTTTTTCTGCTGATGCTTACAGATTCGAACACATGGACCTTATTGTGTATCATCCGACATAAATATTATTTAAGCTTAAAATTAGGCTTTAAGTGACATTTGAAACTTTGATCTTTCTTTCATATTGTTCTTGGTCTGGTCCAACACTTACCCTTCCCATCTTAATAAACTGTTATTCCTTCAGAAGAAAGCCGTTTGAATTATGTCGGGTGCACCTCCGCGAGCCCACACCGATCTTTTATTTTCCTCTCTTGGTCTTCTAAAAATTCATGACATCAATCATCTTCAGCAATGCGCTTTTATTTTTTCATGGTTAAATTTCTCTCCCCCCCCCCACTCCCTCAATTCATATCATTACTTAATTTTAATTTTGATTATCATAGTCACTTTACCCGCTCTTCAAATCATCTTCATATTCCTTTTCATAGAACCACTTTTTGCCAGCACAATATTCAATATACTGGTCCTAAGCTATGGAACAATCTCCCTCACTCCATTTATAATTCCTTCTCTTCTGTTCAAGACTGAAAAAGCATTTCTTATCAAGTTATGCATAATTTTCTCCTTTTACCCATTCCCGATCTCCATTACCAACTCGTTACATTTTATTTTTGTCCCAAAATTATAAAAGAAAAAAATTTGCAATTCTGAGCATCCTCGTGTTGTCTGCTTTGTCTGTCTTGTCTCCTGTTTCGCCCTTTAAACTTGGCTGGTTATTTATTATTTTATATATGTATTATTATTACTTTCGAGAAATAAATGTTCTTTTGAACTTGAACTTGATATATATTTGTATTTATAAAATTAGGTTATTTTTCACTTTTTTGTATTTCTTCCATTCGTAGGGTCCGCACGTGCCCCTGAACACATTGGTATGATCCGTAGGTACCCCATAATACAAAACAACAGGAAAACGGCAGGGCCAAAAAATCGTCCAATATCCCTTTCCGTTTTTTTCCAAAACTGGGCTATTTTTTACTTAGTCGTTTTTCGGCTGATTCTTATAATATGGTACCTAAGGTTAATGAAAATACTGATTATGTTTGATTTAACCTTGTTCAACTACATTCGCTCGTTCGTTATGAATCACAGGAGCTCGTTTTTCTGATTCACAGAATAAACATTTAGAATGTTTACACTTTTAACAACAATCCTGAAACTGCACATCGTCACAATATCCTAATGAAGCAATCGGTTGAATATAGTACAGTAAAGCTTGGTTACCATATACTTACGCTACACTATATCGCCAACTTTACTGAAAACGCTGTAGCGACAGTATAGTGATTTAACAAGAATGACACTCAAATACATTACTGTACTTTCCATGTTTAGCATTTTAATGCAAGTTACAGCGTGTCACAAACACGTATGAATATATATTGTGCAGTAGTATTAAGATTTTCTGATGAAAAATTACCACTAGAACATTCCTATAAATTCCGTCCAAACAAACCACCGTTTCCATTTATTCATTGTAATATTTAAAGCAGGAACTTTTTTTACATATACTCTTACTTTGGCATCAGCATGAATAATTGAGTTCTCACTTTGAAAGTGTTAGGTTTGCAACAAATATACTCTCGAAGCAAATACTATTGTCCGTAAGCTAAGCCCGTGCTTCCATTAAAAGTGTTAACATTACATCTGATATTTTGTAATAAAATATCACATATGTTTGGTAAGACTGTCGTCGGAATTTAAAACACCTCACAATACTGTAGTACAATACACCAGGCTATAATTGACAATTTCTTTCCTAATCCGATTCATACCGTACCTGTGTTTGTAAAATAGGCCTATTATGTAAAGATGGAATGATAATATTGATCAAAAATATTGCACGATCACAAAAATACATCATTTAGTTGCCTCCAAAGAAAGTTTCAAATTTATATTAATTCATGGGCCTAATCAAAATATGCACCGACCAGCACTGTATGTTACTGAAACATCTTGACTCATTCAATCACACGTTCGCTTTTCTTTTTCACTTAAACATTTGATTTATATCCGAATGCTGAAGATGTTTATTGTGAATTTGTATGTATAGATTATACATGAGTTGGCTTCAGCTGGCTACAGTCACAAATATATATAACGGTTCCAGGTATATTGTTTACTTAAAATATAAAATTTGTCAAAATCTGCATTAAACAAAGCTTACTGCAGTCCCAAACCAATATTTGCATAATATCAATGAACATGTCAAATTATGATATCTTTATAACATGTGTATCATAGAAAATCTGAAGTCATTTCATAAACATTAGATGAACGCAACAAACATACAAATTCCAAGACACAAATCTTTTTTTTTTAACATTAACAATGATTGCAAGTTAAAAGTACGTTAATAAAATAGATTTAAAGTCAACATGTATATATAAATGATGAAGCGTAATGTAATTTTCAACAGGTAATAAATAACAACGTTCATAAAACTTACAAAATAGCTAAAAAGTGTTTAATTCAAGCTACATCACTTTAAGTAAGTAAGAATAATTTGGCTTTAGTCCTTGTCAGGTAGAGTTGATGTTGAGGTATAGACAGAATAAATGTTGATATATAAGCAATACAGAATAGTTCTAAGAGTTTGGGCAAAAATACCAAATAAGTCGGTGGGTAAAAAATAGCTTTGAATCACAAAATCATAGTGAGTGTGATAGCATTGCTTAATGAATTAAGTAGACTGAAATCCAGTGGAACTGGTATATCAGAGTTATCAGTCGCCTGTTATCATAATATTGGTTTAAAACTTTATACATCGAAATACTAATTGGGTTGGGTTAAACACTAATTAACTAGATTAATACTATCGGTAATAATGTGGTATAATTCAAAATATACATATTCATGTTAATAATATCTAAATGGAAAAAGAAACAATAGACCTATCCGTAAAACACTAGACCAAAATGTATCCATGCGAAATGATAGGCCAGAACAAGTAAATACTCCATTTTTGGAACTGGTGACGAAAAACCAACACGCGAAGCGAAGAAGCGTTGCGTTGATATCGGCCGATTTCTAATTAGAACTCGAATTCTAATTACCTTCGTGATTTTCACTAATTGACATCAGCATAGATCCCCAGGCACGTTTCCAACTCTCCCTTTTGAATTTTACCGTCTCCATTTTTGTCACAATTCTGCAGAATACATCTTTTGAAGAGATCAATTTGCATCGGGCTTGTGTCAGCCTGAAAGGTATAAATAGAAAGTATTATAAACAGAAATATATTTCTTTTGTTCTACTGTTGTTCGTATTTGTTTGGTAATCTACCTGATTTAAGTTCACTTTTTTGATCTCGTCTTCTTGTTTTGTTTTTTTTTTGTTTAGTTTGTTTGTTTGCTTTTTTTTTGTAAATCTTCTGTTATTGTAGTTTAATTTTTTTCTTCTCGCGATGCATTCATAATCATCGATTTACAATTGCAGGTGTTTTTTTTCACACAGATGTTAGGGTTACTTGCAAGGAAGGCCACGTGAAGGCTGCTTTAAATCCTCCCCAAATTGTTTTGAGACTAATAAACGAAATGTAATGAAAGAAATGAAATGAAGTAACTTTGATCTACTCTACAGACACGCTTTATGTATGCCTATAGCTGGATGAAAATGTATAGATAGGCTGAGATTATAGAATGCAGGGGTCAGGATTGGATTGCAATGGGTTGTTGCTAGAGAGACCGCAAAACGCTTTTGATGGAAGTAACTGAATTCCGCCCACAAAATGTCCCAATCACAGAACTGGATCTCTGGATGTTGCGACAAAAAAGATAAATATAGGCTCTGAACAAATTACGACAACTAATTAAAAGGAACCTGGTGTGGTCAAATTCAACCTAGCTACAGTACTTACTTGGTTTTTCTCAAGAAGATCCTTGACAAATGCATCAAGTTCTTCGCCTTCTATTGCTTTCGTTTTACTCTAGAAAGCAATTAAACGGTAAATTCAATATTATTTTCCGATGCTCAATATTTCACTTCACATAGGCTTCAACCCTTGATCGATCGATGGACTGATTAGCATTTAAACATTAATGAACGTAGTAATGCCTAACATTGTAATTATTCACAGTAATGAAGTAGGTATAATTATACAGTAGTAATAGGGTGATAGAGGTAGAATCATATCATCGTAAGATATGTTATTTGAAGAAAGTAAGTAGCCGACACACACTAAAATGTTTTATAATGGTAAGTACGTACCTTATCGTAGTAGTCGAAGATTCGATTGAATTCCGCTTTCTTTTCTCTCATACTGAGGTGCTGAAAAGGTACAATATAGTAGTAAGTACTTTTTACATTGAAAATAAAATTTAATAATGTTAATACTTCTGTTTACTGTGCTGGTACACTGCTACACCACCTACCCCGCTCTCCCTTCTCCACCCAGGGGCGGATTAGGGGCACCCCACCCTTTTTGGAAAATAATTAAAAAAAATTTATCGCCCAAAACGCCTCAGAGTTTATTGTCGGCCGTCTAGAAAACAACAACTATAGGGAGGAGGCATGCCCCTGACCCCACAGGGTGGTGTTATTTCGATGGGCCCCACTTTCGCAAGCCGGACATTTCTATAACTATCGTCATATCACGTCAATTGTTTTTGTATTGTAATTTAAATTACTGTATTGCAGTGCGGTTCAAACTGTGGATGGCGCAGCCTACGTACCTTGAAAGATTTCTCAGCTTGCAAAATAATGTTGTCTTGTGGCTTAATTGAAAGGAGTCTGTAACATGAAAATATCGATAAACCATTATCTCCGAGGATGTACAGTATTTAGATACTACGTATGTGATCTGCATATGATTTCAAATTAAATATAGAAATACGTTGCGAACCATAACATCGTTGTAACCAGAAAAGATAGTAACTTACAAATGCAGTAGCAGTGGCAGAGCCAGGATTTAAAAGAGGGAGGTTCAAAATGTTTCCAAAAAAACCCAAAATGAAAGGGGGGTCGGGGGATCCTCCCCCGGGAAAATTTTGATTCCTAGATGGCCGGAAATGAGCTTTCCCCACTTCTGAGGAGTCTTTTAATGACCTTTAAGATATTCAAAATTCAAGGTTTTCCCGCTCTTGAAAAAAGGTCAGGTAATTTGATCTCATTTTTTAGACTTATCTTTATAGAGGAAGAAAATCGAAAACAGGCAATATATTATTATATCCCAACAACATTGAGTAGTCAGATGTCTTCTTTCATGGATCGATGAACCGATAGGCACGAAGGGGGAGGGGGTTCGTCCGAATCCCTTGAACCCTCTGGATCCGCCACTGAGTAGCAACAACAACAACATCTGACGTGGACAATATTTGTTTCTAACCTTACTTTATGCATATTAATCATTTCATATATTGAATGTAATTCGTTATAACTGCATTTAAGTTAGTTCGTAACCTTTGCCCTTTCACTCGTATCATGTTGTTTTGTGATGAAACCTGAGCAACGCCGATCTACAGTATCATTTTCAAATAGGATTAACAATCTATCGATTATGATATATGAACATATGTAGCAAATATTTTGTCTAAATATACAATTTCAATACAATATCGTGTTCTTGAATTCTAATTAAATCCACAAGCACACAGCCATTGTTTTGGTGTGCAGATGGTTGCTTAGCAGAAAGGTCCATTGTAACCACACAAAGTTCGTTTTATTTTTTGTGTGTTTCTCCTCGTTCTATGCATTTTGCAGTATAATTTTAAAATTAGGCCTAAGGTTTACAGCAGTTAACACGTTATATCATAGTCTATTTTTAAATTGAGTTCAAAGATTAGTGTTATAAAAAAAAAAACTCATCTTAAAATAAAATGGTGGTCTCAAAGTAAATTACGAAATAAAATTAATTTGTTAGTAGGCCTATCTGTGGAAACCTTCGTGCGGCGACCGTGTTTGACTTTTTTTTGGTAAAACTACCTACAGTACATGCTAGAAGAAAGAGTTCTTGAAATAGCCACATTATGTTTACAGATCATATTCGTGGTTGTATATGGAAAGGCTAAATTAAAATGAAAACATTATACGCCAACGCTTTAATAACTTATTTGATAAATTAGTTAAAAGAGTCCTTAGATTATTAGCGACAAATCAACGTAAATCGAATTTCAATTTGAACTACTTTAGATAACATTAATTTAAAAAAATGCAAAATGTTGACGAACATTGCAGATAATTGCCGATAATTGTCTAATATATATCGTTTTTCCAAAAAATACAACTTACCTTGCCATTTCTGCGAGTGAAAGTTGTCCATCATCGTTCTTATCAAAAATCGTTAACTAAAAATATATTAATAATTGTTATTAAACATTAACACACTAGGCCTATTGCTAGGTAATTCTTTATCACCAACAGGTAATGATAATAATACTAATCATAGTAATGAAGATGGTGATGATAATGAAGACGATGATAATAATAATAATATTAACAATATCTATAGGTGTAAATTTTGCCCTACCTGACGTGGAAATGTACCGAATACTCAATACATTTGAAAACAACTGCGAAAAAAATCGCAAGTTGTTCTCGGGTGGGACTCGAACCCACGGTCTCTAGATCACTAGCCTGGCATCATACCTCTAGACCACCGAGCTTGCGCCTGATGGTCAGGGTTGAATTCGAGTCCAAGTAAGGAGCGGGTACTGCAGTGTTGATAGTAATTTTTATCGTCGTGATGGAATAATAGACAATAACTGGATTTGCGTCAGGAGAAACATGTACAGGTGTAATTTTTGCCCTACCTGACGTGGGAATGTACCGAATACTCAGTACATTTGAAAACAACTGCGAAAAAAAATCGCAAGTTGTTCTCGGGTGGGACTCGAACCCACGGTCTCCAGATCAATAGCCTGGCACCATACCTTTAGACCACCGAGCTTGCGCCTGATGGCCAGGGTTGAATTCGAGTCCAAGTAAGCAGTGGGTACTGCAGTGTTGAGTCCCACCCGAGAACAACTTGCGATTTTTTTCGCAGTTGTTTTGAAATGTACTGAGTATTCGGTACATTTCCACGTCAGGTAGGGCTTGTGGCTTTGACTCCCAACCTCGAGGTCGGGGGTTCGAAACTCTCACTGTGCAAATCGCTTGTGTCCTTGGGAAAGGCACTTTATCTACGGTTGCCTCTCTCCACCCAGGAGTACAAGTGGGTACCTGGTAGGTTCCAACACAACTGCGCTGATTACTAGCCGCAATATTATGGAATAATAATATAATTTAACTTAATAATTTAATTTGGTGTTCAATGTGTTCCATACGTGTTTGATCCAATGACCGGGGTAGTATGTGAAGCGCTTAGAGGCTTTGTAAAGGCATTAAGCGCTATATAAGAACGACATATTATTATTTATTATTATTATACATGTTTCTCCTGACGCAAATCCAGTTATTGTCTATTATTCCATCACGACAATAACAATTACTATCAATAATAATATCATTCTGTAACGTCCTGAATTTTAAAGTGTTTTACTCTCTTCTTACCATTCCTTTTGTGTATTCTATAAGTTTAGATTTGGGAATATCAGTTTTACCATGCAACTTAAGCAGGTCTTGAATGAAGCTCTGAAAAGAAAAATATTAAGTTATGCTTATTAGGTTTAAATCTACCAAATTTCTTTGAACCGATCTGGATAATAGACTTCATAAGCACCACCCCTTGGATATTGTTGCTAAGGTTACACTAAGACAGCGTAAACGTGAGTAAACTTGCGTAATTTGTGGAACATTCATCTTCCTTGCTATTGAATAACACGTTCTGATTCTTCAAAAAGTTTCATTGACTCTCTTGAAAATCCATTATTAAACAGTGATCCTATAAATTATGTTATGTGTCGTGGTAATATAAGAACCTTAAAAATGAAATGGTATCTGTAAAAATAATACTTTGTATTTCAACTTGACTAGCCTTGATCAACGGCCTTTACTTTCAAACTGATGGTCCAATGTTTATGATAGGCCTATACAATCTTGAAAATGATACATTTCCGTGTGACAGAAACGTGTTCAATTTTGTCTGCAGATACATCAGAGATTTAGAATATTCCGGTTTCGAATGATTACGAAATCCCCCAAGTATTCATAAATTCCATAACTTATATAACACAACAATCTGATTAATTACAGAATGACGTATTGACCAAAATATTCACTTACAACGAGTCCCTGGAAAACTGGATGGACGAAGCAATCGCGAGTAAAATGGAAAGAGCTAGTCTTCAGTGTGCTATTTGTTTTCTTAATCATTATATGATACAGAATAGACCTCTACTTAAT